TTGGGGCCCAACCCAAGGTTGTACACCTAGAGATTGTATACTCAGAAAAGCTCTCTTAAAGTTTCAATGTGAGACAACCCATTTTAAGGAAACCCACATTTAATTCTTTAAATGTCCATTCCATGAACCGGAAAACGACATCAAGTTCCCATTCACTCATAAATGGTTTTGACGAACTGTTTTTACCGTGTGACTTGCCATGCGGCAAAAAACACGTCACCTCTTCGGACCCAGCCCAAAAGACGTTTGGGGCCCACTCAATTTTGGGCTCAAAGTTGGCCCAAACTAAGCATTATAAAACCAAAATTTCCAACAATTAGTACACCCCATGAAGTTATAAGTCAAAATTTTAAAGGTACAAAAACACATAGTCGAATAAATATTTTTTTTGAATATTCAATATTGAACAAAATTTAATTTATTTGGAAACAAATTTCCAAAAATATGTAATTTGTTTGGAAATATAATACTGGATAGTTCTTTTTATTCAGAATTAGAATATGAAGAAGTTAAAAAAATAAATGTTCGAAAATATAAAGCCAAAACATAAATAATTTGTTTGGATAATAAATAATGAACATTGCTAAATAATTTAAAAACACAGTGCCAAATATATGAAATTTCTTAAAAAATAAGTTTCTGAATAAAATATAATTTGTTTGGTATTGAATTTCCAAACAAATTTCGTAAATCCATCAACTAAAAATGATGAAGATAAACAGAAAATCTGCGCTTTATAAAAAATAGCTTGGAAACGTTTTCTTCATTATCTATTGTTAACTTTAATATGAAATAGAATGCAAAAATGATAGATTCAAGAAAAATATGATTGAGTATGAAGATGCAAAGTGAATAGAGTAAGAAGAGATGAGAGAAGAACAAAGGAAATATCGAAATTGATTACGAGATGGAGTGTCCAAAACACTATAGTTTGTATTTTTTTTTAATATCAAATACTTTTTTGTCATTTTAAATAATGCCGTAATAGTAATAAAAATATTTTATAAAGTAAAGATGTCTAACCAATCTTTTGTTGCAAATAGAGCCATCCAAGATTAAGTCTGTTTTCAAAATTTTAGATATTTTTACCCTTATTTATATGGAAGAATTGAAATAGTCAATATACTTGGGGTTCAGCTCCTCTCTAGTCTGGAAATGAATTGGACGGTATTGGTTGGTTGTTGTTGCAGGCTCGACTCTAGACCTACCTCGATAATCTAAACCATTTAATATATAGAGCTGGTTGAGTACATCATTCTTGTAAAAAATCACGTTGATCAACGTGATTTTTTGCAGGGATGATATACTCAACGAGATCTACATATTGAATGGTTTGAATTATTGAGATGAGTCCAGAATTAGTCCCACCACGGCCCAATAGCACCGTCCAGTCTAATTAAAGACTAGAGAGAAGCGGTGGCCATATACTTGTATGGTAACTATTATTTTTTATTCTTCAAACTTTAAAATTCTAACTTTCAATGTACACATCTGTTTTCGATAAAATTTACATTTTTTAAAATGACTCGATGAAATCTATCAAACAAGATCTTAATTAAATATAAAATTATGAAAAATAAAAACTAGATATAAAACTTTACACTTTTTTAAATTTGAAAATGTAACTTTTAAATTTTCACATTTTTTAGACATATTTTTAAAATTTCACATAGTTTTTGAATTGATTTTTTTTTAAATTTAAATTTCTTATAGTATAAAATTTCACATATTTGAAATGTAAACAAAATATAAATAAATTTCACAGTAAATTTTTATAGTGAGACAAGTTTTTTTTTTCTCCTTTTTTGTTAAAAGTGATTTTCGTATTTTTTAAATGTAAAAAATGCAATATTTTTGTAATCTTATTGAATAAAATATTTGAATGTTCATACTTGTTACAAATAAAAATAATGCGATATTTTTTTTTTAAAAAAAAAAGTGCGAATATTCACATTTTCAATGAATAAGAAAAATGTGAATGCTTGAAAAATATGAATATTTTTTTTGTAAATGTGAATAATTACATCAACTTTTACACTTTCTAAAAAAGCATAATATTTTGTTTATTGAAAGTATGAATATTCACATTACTAATTATTACATCATTTAAAAATTCAAACTAAAAAAAAAAAAAGATTATAGTGTAAAAGATAAATTAGATTAGATACCCTAATGAAATATTATCAGGGAAAGTAATCAATAAATCCTATTTTACTTTTAAGATTACTATTAAGTGTTTCAATATGGATAACTAAATCATGTTTGTACTAAATGACTCCCAAAAGATTCATTGCTTTATAATGATATATTTTATCCCAATTTTATTTTTATTTAATATGAATGGTGTATTTTATCCCAATTTTACTCTTATTTAATATGAATAACAATTTTATAAATAATTTTAACTTAATTAAAATTAAAATTTTTAATTTTAAAATTTATTAATATTATATTAAAAAAACTCATAAATAACAATTTAATCGAATGAAGTATAGTATAACATATTATTCCAAATTATGAATTCTTTTCGAGTAAAAAAAATCTAAAAGGCTAAATTCTATTAAAATTACAAACAGCTAAGAAAAATAATACTACGAAAAAATTATATATTTCTCAATCATGAGATAGTTGATGGAACTTATATTTATACTTTTGTTTGTGAAAATTCATTTAATTTGCACAATTAAAAATAAATTAAAATTATTTATGAAATCTTTGGTTCATATTTCAATGAGAAAGATAAAATTAAAATAAAATATACTATTATGAGCAATTGAATTTTTTTTATAACAATTATAACAAAAAAAACTTATTTGTTAATATCGAAATTTGATATAACTCAATAGTGATTTTCAAAACAAAATAGAACTTAGCGATAATTTTTTCATTGTGGTTTATGATTTATTTTAGGAAAATTTATGAGAAATTCGCTTTCAAAGACTTGTTTCTCAATTAGTCCATAACATATATTCTTGTATTCCAATACGTGCTATTATTTGGACATTTGATCTAAAAAATCCTAATTATCATATTTAAAGATATTTATGGATAATTTTTCCTTACAAATATTTTTTAAACCCTTAAAAACTTGGTGTGTAATATTTTGGACTATTTTGTACTTTTTACATATTAAACTTTAAAAATTCATAATTTTTGTTGTACATATATATATATATATATTTTACGAAATTTATTTTTTTGAAACCTAGTTTTGGAGATCTATCAAATAAGATCTCACTTGAATATGCAATTTTGTAAAATAAAAACAAATAAATAAATTTGACAGTGTGAATGTTCACATTATGAAACATTCGTGCTATTAATATAAACATTAATGCGCATTAGAATATTTTGATAACGATGTCACCCATAACACTTATTAGAATATAAGAAAATAATTTGAACTAAGTGGAACATAAGTAGGTAAAGAGGGATTTATGAATATATATCCCATTTTTTTTTTAAATACAATATCATATTTTCACTACATGAATTAACACTTTTGGCAACAAAAAAATTGGTCGCTAAAAGCCTATTTTTTGTCAGCAAAAGTTATCCGCGACCAATTTTTTTGGTCGCTACTTTGGTCGCCAATTGAGGGTCAGCAAAAGTAATTCGCGACCAAAATTTTGGTTGGTCGGCAAAAGTTGGATTTGCCGACTAAATTTTTGGTCACTAAATATTTAATTACCGCGACTAATTCATTTTGTCGCTAAAACACTTTGGTCACGAAAGGTGATATTTTCCCGACAAAATATGTTAGTCGCTAATTGACACATTTCGCGACCAAAAAGTTTGGTCACCAATTATCACATTCAACGACCAAAAAGTTTGGTCGCCAATTGTGACATTCCACGACCAAAAAATTTGGTCGCCATTTGTTACTTTTCGCAACCAAAACTTTTGGTCGGCAAAAGTGAGTTTCCACGACCAAGAGCTGTTTTGGTCGGCAATAGATGTATTTTTTGCGACCAAAACTCTTGGTCGGCAATTGTCATTTTTTGCGAAAAAAAATTATTTTGGATGTCGCGACTAATAAATTGGTCGCTAAAGCAGGAAAACAATACACTTGTAATTCCTAATAATTCATTCAATCCATAATAAACCTATAATTTTAAAGCATCATTCAAGTTAACTGAATCATTAATATTCGACACAATACATAATTCATTAACATTTGACACAATACAACTATTCTAAGTTTCATTCACAAGTCACATCCATCTAGCATAACAATTTGAAACATAACTATTTGTTATCCATGCGCAGCTATCAACAAATAAAACTACTAATATTTGTTATCCATACACATCCATCCAAAAATATTTAATTCTCCCAAAAATGTTCATACTGCCCAGTAGTCTTGTACAATTTAGCTTCGTGAACTTGTTAAGAAATATGTTGGGGAGGGTGCTCGTTTGGTTCGTGAACTTTTGATCCACCTTTCCCAACTTTTGATCCACTTTTCAATCATGGCCCCATCGATATTGTTTTAGCCACTTCAAATGTTTATTGGAACAAAGAAAAATTATGTCACTATGAAACAGCACTACCGAACAAAGATAATAAAACCTCAACAAACTTCACTACAACATACCTTGAAAAGCCCCAGAGTGCTTCAGTCGTTCAAGAACAATAGCTAAGGCAGGTCCTTGAATATCTTTCAAATTCTTGGTCACCCAGTCATGTAACAAGACAATAAACTCAAGAGTTCTGCTAGATTTTTGACAAAAACCAAAGGAGGCAGCAAAAATTTTTGTCTACATACTGCATCAGGACCACAGACTCTGAAAATTTCACCAATGCATACTTCAGTTGCTTTACAAACATCTGCTGATTTATCCTATATATAAATGCAAAACCAAGCAATTAAATAAAGTGATAAAAAAAATGATGAGTTATTTTCCCTTAAATTATTTTTCTGAAAATTTCAAATTTTGCAGTAGTAAATATCGCCATTTTGCACTTATATGGAAGAGACGTGTCATTTTACAACATGAGAAGCAAATAGGCTGCCTGCATTCTGCAAAATACCCAGAGCGAGAGAGAGAGAATAAGAAGAAAAAGAAGAGCAATTCACCTTCACATCAAATGGGAGATTACCCACAAAAACCATCCTCTTGTTATCATAGAGTGGAGCATTGTCTCCCTTTAGTTTCTTGCGAGGTGGGCATGCCCTGTCAACACGGATGTGATTTCCTCCAACCTAGATCAACAAACCCATTACAAATGCAGCTAAAACATTCTCCTAGCAAAATATCCAATTGTACCCAGAATCATGTTGATTAACTGTCAAAAGAGCAACATACCACAGCCATATTATGGGCCAAAGAAGCCTGGGCAGCTTGCTCTGTTTCGAAGACAATGTAAGCGTGAACACTGCAAGATCCCAACAATTTCTTATTGGTGTAATAACGACAATAGGAAAAAAAAATAAAACAAAACAAAACCTGATGAAACAATCAACACACTAATAGTTACAATTCAATATGTTCATGGCCTCGTGTAATTAATGATTTTTTTAGGAACCAAACTGCTTTTATTAAAGATATAAAAATTAATGATTTGTGAGAAAGGTACTTTAAAGATTATTAGTTAAATGTCTGTTGGATGGTTAACTGAAGAAGCCATATGATCAATGAAAAGCAACCACTTCTAACAACCAACATCAGTAAAGAATCAAAATCACACATTGAAGGATGTGCATACATTTTATTAAATGCAACAAAACTACAGATATTGGGAAATGATAAAAGTGGACGTCTGAATCAATGTAAGAGAATTTCATTCAAGAACAGAAGGCAAAACTATAAATGGGAGCATATTAATACACTAAGGAATTCCAAAGGTAAAAGGAGACGACACCATTATGTCCAACGAATTGCAGGAATCAAAATTAAATGAGATGATGCCATTAAATATCATAACTTTTTGTGACAAGCATGCTACATTTGATGAATTGAATTTGATAATTGATATATAAGCATACCTATCAATAGCATCATTTATTTTCTTCTGGATAATTGCACCCTTCCTCGGTTTTTTGGTTTGATAAAACAATCATCAATAGTTAAAACTAGAATCGGCTAACATGTATAAAATGAGCAGGAAGCACTTTACATGAAAAACAAGGAATAAATCTTGGAAGCATACTTACATCCAATAGAGGAATGGACCGAATCCTTACAGACTCAACCTCTCCAAATTGGCCAAATTCCTTAAACAGAGCCTTCTTCTTAACCTTCAATGTTAAATTCCCAACAAACACAGTCCTCAGAAGTTTATCCTCATCATCAAAACCTTCCTTGGAAACCACCATGTCCACTGAATCATCAATCTTTTTCCTCTTCTCCCCCAACAATTTTCCCTTCCAATCTTCCCTCTCCAATTTCAAATTTTGCAGCAGTAAATACCGTCTACGTATCTTTCAAATTTTGCAGCAGTAAATACCGTCATTTTGCTTCTCATGTTGCAAAATGACACGTCTCTTCCACACTATTTTGCTTCTCATTTCAAATTTCACAATGTGTCAGTGTCTGACACGAGGTCCAACATGACACGTCTCTTCCATATAAGTGTCCATGACATGTATTTGTTAGCTATATATTTTGTAAAAGCCAGTTACAATCCGACATGTGGCAGAATAAGGGTATTATTGGAAATTAATTTAAGTCTCCAATCCTGATCGTACACGTGGTGATGATAATTTGTTTATTTCCACTTGTTAGCACCATAAATCTGCAATTTTTATTATTATTTATTATTTATATAATTGCAGGACACGTGGCATCCTCTTATTCATTTGGAAGTTAAAAGAAGTTATAGAGATAATGGAGAATATGAAGGACAAAGTGGATGAGTGGGAGGACAAAGTGGATGAGTGGAAGGACACATGGCAAGACAAGAATGAAGATGGAAGAAATGGGTAGTTACTAAGTAGTTATTGCTGTATTTTTTTCTTCTATAAATAGTCATTGATGGCTACATTGTAAAGGATCCAAAACTTAAATCAAAGACACTTGATTTCAATATTTCTTGTCATTTTCCTTATCTTAGGAGTAGTTTAACATAGATTTATATTTCGAAGCATTTATTTTCAGTATTTCCATTTCGATGCATTTCATGCACTTCCTTTTCGAAACATAGGAGTAGAGGTAAGTAATTATCACTTTGATTATTCACTAAATCGTCCTTCTCCGTCTCTCATTCTTCTTTTAATTTTTCTTTTCTCTACACTTTGGCAATTTTGAAGTCCTCTTTGTTGAGGCAAAAGAACCGTCAACGCAATCGCTTGATAATTGGCTTGAATTTAATCTGTAAGGATTTTTCAATCCTTGCTGGCACGCTCGCATTTATGGTATTTTCCTTCGTAGGAAAAATAAGCCAACATTTTTTGGCACGCCCAGTGGGACAATTAAAATATGGCTAGACGAAGACGACAAGGAGAAAATGAACGCTTGGAGAAAGGCGTAGAAGGAGAGGTAGAAATACCTAATCCAGAGGATAATGTGGTAATACATCCTGTGGAAACTCCTATGTTATCAGAACCTTTGGTCGAACAGACCAGTACTTCTGGACAAGAACCATATGCTCGTAGTATTGGACGAAACCAAGGAATTGGACCATCCACCATTCCAACTACTCAGCCAACAAATCCATGGGATGGCTTAGTAGATGCTATGGGACAACAACTAATGAACACAATGGAAAAATGGGCAACATCCTTCTTGGATCGAATGAACACACCCTCTTAGGCCTTATTTGGCCTTTTTGGTGCTTCCTTTGTGAAGCTTTGTTTGCTTGAGTGTCTTGGTCTTCTCACCACTGAAAACCAGTGGATTTTCAGTGGTGAGGAAGGTGATTTGAAGTCTTGTATAGGGAAGGGACACCCCTCTCCCTTCATTGCCTCATTTCCTTGCCTTTTGGCTTAAAGGGCAACATGCATGCTTGATTGATTTTGGCCCTATTTCAGAGTTTTTTGGGTGTCTTTAGGTCACATGTTATCTCTGTTTTTGGTCGGATTTGTGCCCTTGCATGCTTAACATACTTGCTTTGCATTCCTCTATTTGGCCTAGAAATGCATCTTGTGTTTAGGCCATGATTCTTGCATGTGTTAGCCTAATTTCATGAAGGTATTGGCATTATTTTACCATGTTTAAGGCCTGTTGGCCATGTGTTCCAGTCATGCTTGCCTTGTTTGGTATCATCTTTTTGTATTTTGGCTTGTAAGCCTTGAGTATATTGGCCTCTAGCATGCGTAGCTTGGACCATCTTCATGATTTGGCATCGTTTAGGATCATATTTTAGTCCATAAATCACGTTTGTATGTCTGTATATGTGACCTCTTTCATGCTTTGAGGATGTGCCCCTTTATGCCTTGAAATGAGCTTTGGTGCATGCATCTCATTGGGGCCACTTAAGTTGCCATATTAGTGGGTGTTAGGGTCCATTTTTGCATGCTAAAATTCTGTTTTTTTTTTTACTTGTCTAATTCATGCCATGCATGGTCATGTTGGTGGAAGCAAAGTGTCCCCTTTTTGTGCCTTAGCCTTAGGTCCTTTGGCTTGCATGTTGGCATGAGTGTTTGTCCATCATTTTGGGCACTTTTGGCCACTGTTTTGGGGTGGATTGAGGTCTACCCCTTTATGGCTTAAGGTCACCATTGCATGTTTTTCTCGTGTTTGTTGCATGGTTGCTTCATTAGATGTTGTAACATGATGATCCCATTGCTTGAACCGTCCATGTTTGCATTGCATTTGCATCTTACATGCCTAGCATTGCATACTTGCCATAGTAGTTGCATGGCAATTGGCATGCCTTGCACCTTAATCTCATGTTGTACTTTTAAGTCATGTTTGCATAACATGCATTGCATTACTTGGTTTGGGGTGTCAAACCAAGTGTGAGGGTTAAAGAGCGTTCACACTATAAGTGATGTAACGCGCCTTAACTCTCAGTCACCGGGGCCCTTGACTTCGACATGATAAGGCCTCGGTCCTCATTTGTGTGTAGCATGCATTCTTATATCAAATGGCAAGCTTGATCCCTTAGGCTATCATGCACAATTGATGGCTCGAGGATCGAGGGCCACGCTTCCCTGAGTTCAATACATGATGGGGAACATGACCATGCTTACATGTACCTGAAATCCCATGCCATATACTGTCTATCCTCTGTTGCTGTCAAAACTGTCTTCTGCGGGAAGTTTCTGCCGACCGGCAGAATTTAGTGCTGACCGGTAATCGGTTGATGGCCGATAACCCTATCATCAGCCGATGGAAATTATACATTGCCAGAGGGAATTTCCTCCAGCCGATGGTATTCTTCAGTGTGCAAGGAATCTGTCCCAGAACTTTGGAATTTTTTAGAGAAGCAAGGCAGTAAAAACAGAGGCAGCAATGGTATGGTACGGACTTTCCAGGCGAGGCGGGTTCGAGCATACATCATTCGCGCATCCCGAGGCGGGGCCGTGGCCACCTTTTCTTTTTTTGCATTCGTTCTGTTAGTTAATTAGAAATTCTATAATAATTAACGTGTTTATTATCCGGATTGTAATATTTATTTGGACCCTCCGAGTGAGGGCAATCGTGTAATAAGTGTGCGTGAGTGTGTGTATGTCTTCCAACCTCACGTCTTTCATCCCTTTTATTTACCTGCTTATGATGGTAGACTAGGGCATATTTAAAATTAGCATACCTTATGCTACACATGCGTGCATTCACACATTTGTCTTGCATGCACTGGGCTCGGCGCATCATTCTAACTGCATTTGTACTTTCAATTCCAAATTGAATACGTGCATCAATTGATTGCACTTCACATTCCATGTGTAGGTTAGCCGAGCCTACTCTAATTGCATTCTGCATGTGTTGCATTAGTCAATCTGACATGAACTAGGATCACGCATGTTTGCTAACTAGTTTATTGTTTTGGCACGGAGTACATTGTAAGTATTTATGCTATAGCATACCTCATGCGTGTGAGTGTTGCCATGACAGTATGCGTGCCATGCGGCTAAATGCTTACGTGATATTACTGATTGATTGCCTGTGGGTGAAGGTTGGATTGTCTGAGTTGGAGAAACTCGTTGAAATCCGTATTTTAGCCTACTTGCGAGTAGCAAACTTCAAACCATTTTCCAAAATAAACGGATATGCAATGTTTATTTCCAAATTAGGCAATTTAGTCTATACTTGTTTGCCGTGCGCATAACATAGTAATTATAGGCTAATAATCTGAATAAGAACACATAACGTTTTCAAAAACGGATATCACGGTTAGTAGAGGCCGGTCTTCGGACCGGGCGAGAGGGGGTGCTCATAGCTGACCTTCCCCAATCGTACCCTAGCTCCCGAGCCGAGGCAACTTTGGCAATGACGGACACGTGGCCTTTGGCACCGAGTCAGGGTTTCCTAAATTTTCCCATTTAAAAAATATTTAGGTGGCGACTCTGTATCTGGCAAAGCAGTCCATGTTTGGCACTTCTTTTCAAAAATCTGTTTCTCAAAACGATTTGTCGGATTTGGACTGTTTGGTTCAGATTTAGAACCGTGACAACAAATCGAGTTCGAACTGTAGTAAGCCCACAAATGAACAGAATGGGATTTCCCTCCCGGGATGTTCAGGGACGTCTACAGTTTCTGGCGACTCTGCTGGGGATTTAGAAAGCTTGACTCGAACTCGTGATATCCTGTTTTGATTCCAGTTATGTGTCTCTTTGCATTGCATGTGCATTGGTGCGCCTAGGACACCATGTTTGCCATCTGCCATTCCTGAACGGTTTGCCGGAGGCTTGTCTTGTCAAGGCATGACCATAAGGCTGACCGGTTATGGGCTCTGACAGTATGGGAATGCAAACCCCGGTTTTACCGGGGCACCCTTTTTGACCATTCGACCTAGTGCATATCGAAATCTATAGTGACCATTCCAAGTTAGGACATGTTACTTACCCGATGTTAGGTTGTTTGAAAACTGCTGCGTGCATAGTGGAACCCTAGCTCCTGACAAAATAGGACAGGGAAACCCTACCCCAACATAGGGGTGTTTTGGCTCTCTTTACTTGCTATGTGCTTTTAGAGTGTATCTCTACAGG